AATGTTTGTTACTGTACAACCCCGATTTTTCACTGGCTTTCGCTCTTGCCTATTTCTTTCTGAACAAAACTTTTATTGGTGACGTTCAATTTGTTTTCAGTCTTCGCTACGACCAGTACCATTGTTTACATTGTTTGGCCACGCTCAGCATCAGTGTATCTCTTACAAATCTGTTGTATGCTATTCGACCCAACAAACACAATTTAATGCTTGATACATTTTAATAATAATATGGTATATACAAATATAATATATTCGATTATGTAACATAGATAACACAGACAAGAACTACTAATTCGTTAAGAATGTCTGTGGGATTATTAGACTGCATTATCCATGATGATTGTTGGTAACATTATGTACCGCCATTACCATTACCATTATTTCCTTTAGGGACCGACGTACATGTGCAGTCAAAGTTATCTCCCAGTGTATATGTTCCAGTGTTGTCATCAATTAAGGCCACGAGTTTGGCATTCATACCGCACCCAGGTCCAGGAGCAACGGTGGTTACTCCGCCACCTCCACCACGTCTACGACCGCTCCTATAAAGAAAAAAAAACAAGAGCGTCAGAAACATTATTTCACAAACAACAACAACGTATTATCTGTTTATTAATATAAATTTGTCATCGTAACGCCATAAGTTACAGCGTGCCGTAATTTTGTGGTATTTTACAAGGTATTTTTATCCTACCATATAAGGAAATGCGAATTCCAAATATGAAATTATTACGCATGTAAGCGACCTCTAATAAAAAAACATGACTGCCACTAGGGTTTGACCGGACTGTCTTCGTGCATATTTTGAGGTATCTTCGTAATAACCTCATATTCATAATACATTCTTGTTATTCTTGGGTATTTTCATGCGGTAATTAACAGTAGAGTTTTAGTAAATTATTCGTTATTCGTGTGTAGTGTCATTGATAGAAAACATATCCTTCATTCGTAGATGAATGAATTTTTAAAATAAATGTTTGTTTTAATTGTTAATCAATACTTACTCCAATGCAAACCCACTGTGTATAGTTGACAAAATTAGACTACATGCTACCAATAAATAAAAGTTTGTAAGATATGACATCTTGCCAATAAATATTCTGAAATAAAAGAGAACAATGTACAGTATAATACTAGTATAGTGTATTGTTACAGTAACGTATCATAGCACCGCGCATTCAGTCCGTTAGTTTGCTCCTTTATCTGTCTCTGTTTATTTGTGTGTATTTTGTCGTGGTAGCACGGTGTAATAACCTGCTTTTGAATATTAAGTAATTATGTGCATAATATATATCACATCTAAAATCTGTAGAAAAATAACGACATCTTGTTATTGATCATTTATGTCAGAATTGGAACAAAGATATACACCAATTTACATATTGATAGATAAATAGTGGAGGTGCTGCATTTATTACTTAAATGGATCTAAAATATAAGCAATGTTTTGACGCACAATAAATGTAGATAGGTAAGCATCTAAAGATGTTCAAAAAGTTATTTCATAATTGACTGAAAATAAAATTATGTTATAACCTGTTTATGAAGTTACGTATATTTTTGTTCTTCTAATGTAATGTAATGTAATGTAATGTAATGTAATGTAATGTAATACCTTACACTCGAGCTATATGAAATAGAAATAGAAAGAGGCAGACATAATAATATCCCTAGGGAAAGCCGTATTTGTCATTTGTGCCTGCAAGAAATTGATGATGAATATCATTTTTTACTAAAATGCACTGCATGGGACACAATCAGGAAAAAGTATCTTCCAAATGAGACACAACCCCCAAATTTGAATACTCTAGTACAACTATTAAGTTCCTCTAAAAGCCAAATCATTAACTCGTTGGCTCTATTTATTTATAAGTGTTTTTTAATCAAAGATCAAATGAGAATAACCTAATAAGCTTGTATGTATATATATATTAATATCCCCATCACATTATTATATAGGGCTTATATTATGTATTGACACACTCTTCATCTATATTTTCATACATATTTTGTAATGTAAATTTATTTCTTGTCAATAATTAATTTGCATGATTGTAATGGGCCGGAGGCCATTATACAATTAATAAAATTATATAAAAAAATATATGAAAAAGAGTTATTTAATCACATTGAAATTAAATCAAATCAATTCTAATCTTTATCTATTTCATGATGCGCATTCATATGTTTAAACATGTCATTTCCGCGTCTATATTATTTCACTGGTACGATAATTAGATGCGCCAAACATTTTATGATTTGTTAAACTTATATTCTATTTAAAGTCATCTTAACTGTCAGTGATAAACGAATTTACGTACTCGAGGGGGAGAGCATTCGCTATATACTAATTTTAATGTACAAGGGAAAATAACGCATTTTGTTGGATATTAACAAAACCTAAATCAGTTATACCTAACCGTAGAGATATTTATTTAAAGGAACTCCGTGCGCCTGTTCAATTTAGCTTACGCGAATTGAGTCAAACTTACGAATGATGTATTTAAAAAAAAGAACCACCACGGATGTTTATATAGGGAGTGTAAAACCATTGGTAAACAATACAAAAATTGGCACATCATTAAAATAACCGATTTATTTGTCACTGATAATTCGAAAATAGACTAAAACATTATCATGTGGATATTTTATAAATCTGTCATTTACAGCAGAATTTATATCTGAATAATGTAATGTTTACAAATGAGAAGATTAATACAACATACTCCTTGACTTTAATATGGCGAAAATTAGATACGAACTAAAAAAATAAATAACCACATTACCTGATAGTCAGCAAAGTGTGAAATGAGTCAAAGTCAGTTGTAGATTATTGATCAAGGTGTATTTATATATACTTGGTAATGGTGGGAACATATTTATTGGTGTAAAAGTGTATCTAGAGGCAATTAATAATGAACTTGTTTTAATGAATATCATAAATTATTTCAAATGATGTTAATCTAGCAACACATTTCACGCAAATTTTTACAAATATTAGATTTGAGCTGAGACAACAGAAGAAATCAACATGTGATAACAAAAATACGCTAAGAATACGCGTATTAAAATAATTATAGCGTGGTTTGTGTGGTGACAAAGATACTTTCGGTGTTCTAAACACAAGGAACTCTGGGAGGACAATGGCTTCTAGTTTATGAATTGCGAGTGGATATATTAGTTTGTTCTACTATAAGCAATTTGTAGCGGCGAGTGATTCACCCTAAATTAGTGAGTATTGATTATGTGGAATAGTGTTTATAAAGAAGTTTGGGAGGTTTGTTTGCTGTTTTGCATTTACCTAACTAGTACGTGTCAACTAAAAAAACTGGAATCCATTTCTCCGATTAACATAGCACATTGTACTAGTACGGTAACCCTGTGATACCTTTCCATCAAAACTATTTCGATAATTAAGCAATAAATACGCCTTAATTTTGATGCATGCCTTAACACGAATACGTTTCCATGTATTGTGAATGTCCCTAGCACACATTAACATTTTAATAGACAAGATGTTGACTAGAGATACAAATAGTTACCTGCTCTAAAGAATATGTTCCATGGAAACAATAATCACCAATTGAATGTCAACATATTAATAACAGAGATAAAACAATATTTTATTAACATTAATGAACATTAACAGATTATATTGTTCTCAGATGCCCGGGTTAGTTTGTGACATGGACAGACAACTTGTATATATAAATAGTATATCCTTTCGAATAATGACACTACAGAATAATAGTGTTCAATGTACTATTTCATACGTACAACAAAATAATATGTTGGAGTACAGTGAATGTAGTCCGGACATGTAACAGATTATCACAGTAGCGACTTATCACAGCGACAGTGTAAAATATCACTACACTTAACTGTTCAGTCTACGCCTTCTCAATGAGTGTACGGAGAAACCCGAAACGCGTAACGTTACTATTTTTGTTACTGTGAAAATTTCAGACCGGGTAAACACAACAAATAGTTGGATTATGCAGTGACAACGGCTGTGACAACCCATAATAATGTTGAAACTTATATTGAAAAAAAGAATATCGATAAGACTGGTATATTTCTGTTGATTTCGATAACCATCAGTAGCCGTCACAGCAAATGCGCGTCAACATACTCGATTAGACATCGCGCTAAATTGGTATAAATTAGCCTTTGATTCCTAAGACTAGTTCCGTAATCTCTGTCGTTTTGGCCACCGGAAGTGGTCATGTGATTAAAAGGTAATCACATTATATCGCTTATTCGTAAAGCTGGTTGATACCAATGACGTCACTCGTGACGTATATGTGATATCTCATATCATTCATACTGTGTCCACGAAACCTTTTCCTGTTGTCTGATGTATTGTGAGTTGAAATGACAATAATTTGATTTGAGTGTCGTCCGACAGTTGTGAATATTGCTACGTGTCAGATCTGAATCTGATTACAGATTTTCGATTATCTGTAATTAGCGAAACGAGCCATATACGTATTAAATATTATTTTCGGCATAAATACCCCCCGGAATCATCCACACTTCCGAAACTCCTTTCGCTCCTCGGCCTTATTCTCATTCAGCTCCTGCTTTTTTGGGTTTTCTGCCCTGCATTCATGCCAAAGTCACTCGGAGTTGAAAAAAAAATGGTAATGGTATCTGATGGAATAAAAATCCTGGCAAAGTTGTGAGCATTGTGTATTAAACTATCAAATAAGTGATCATATTCACAATCATGTCAATCTTTCTTCATCAAACAACGAATGACACCAACAGGAGTTGCATACACAATAACTTGTTTGAGTTGATCACACTCCACTTGATTGCAAAAAACGGCAGAGAATCCTCGCAATAGGGGGTAGGACGTTCTCAATATATTTCTGAAATAGGCGGTGTTTTTTTCTTCAATATGTCTGCTCTAGGGGGTACTAAATTTACATTGCGTTCGCAATAGGAAGTATGGTTAACCCATGAAACTGCTTTAATTTCTATGGGCAATTAGAGTGAGGTGATGGGTAGTACATAAATGTACTAAGCATTGTTAAGACAGAGTTGATGTGACAGGAAATAGTGGCGTTATGTATGTGAGCAGCAGATCACATGACGAAAATCTCACCCAGTGTAGTGAACACAAACAATGGCTAGATGAACATGTGCAATTCTAGTCTCTGATATCACAAACAACGTGCAAAATACGTACATAATAACAGTAACCTGGGTCTGACAATAATCATGACAAAAGCAATATGTCTGTGGGCGGCACATACATCGTCATTTAAGAATGGTGCCCGAGCTTAATTACGTATATTTCGAACTCAAAACTCATGCGGCATAAAACTAAATAAGAGAGTTTCCCAACTTGTCACTTTTTTTAGTTTCATGCCGTATTCAAAATGGTTGCCCCCATATAGTAAATATTGCATTTATTTTATTATCACTTGTGCGCCAGCTGACTGTGGTTGCGCCCTCCGCGGTGCTCCAAACCCAAGTGAGGTCTGACGCCGATGAGGGCCTACTCACGCCTACATGTCAGGCTAGACATAACCTTGCATCGAAAAATAAGCACCCATAATGCAATACACTACCTATCCACCAATACAATTGCAAATTTATCAAAATATACGTCAATCAAATCATAGACAAATATCATGTCTACGTCTAAAGTAGACGCCTAATCATTTTTTATTTAAAGCGGGAGGATCGTCACCTGCGTTGAGTGGGCATTGAGTCCCAAGCGACGATAATAACGCACGCTAAAACGCAAAGGCTCATGGGAAGACGCTTGCTTGTAAACAATGGCACGCTGTGGCCATCTGACGCATGCGCGGGTGACGACTCCCCCACTTTAACAAAACTTACCTACTGTATGAACGTTAATACACATTGCGCACACATTACAAGTACAAAACTAATTATCGTAGTAAAAAAAGACAGATCGACGATTGCTATTTTCCTAAAATTACATGCTATGGTATTCGAGGGCTTTCTTTGTACTGATTTGGAGAATACTCGGTCGCAGCATGTGTATGCATGCATACAGCAGCATATATCACCGATTCTATCCATCAAATATGTGCCACAGGGGTCGGTCTTGAACACATTTTATTTTGATTATTCATAAATGATATGAATGGTTCATTCATATTTTTCGACTTCAGGTTGTATTCAGATGATACAATTTAATAATTAATATTGACCTTGACAATGTTCACTAGCATCTCCCAATGTGTTGGTCTGGTGTAATGTTTAATACACATACAACAGTACTAAAGTGTCAAAAACAGAATATATTATTTTCAGAAGCAAAAACTATTATTGTAGACAGCTTGCCTCACATTAATAATATAATTGATATTTCAGCTATATTTTTAGTTATTTGGTAACGATTAGTCAATGGAAAAAATGTTTCCGTGGCAACGAGATCCAGTACTTAAAGGGTGGTGGTCGTCGCTCAGCGCTTCAAATTCCATGTAAACGATATATTTTACACGCGTTGTAACGTAACTACGAGGCCAACACCACACCGAGCAACGACTACTGGGCACGCGCGGATTTAGGCGGAGCCCCCCCTCCCCCTTCAGCCCGCCAAAAAAAATTTACAAATCAATTGACAAACTCGGCCCAGCGGAGGTGCGCGGCCACGTCAATAGGACCGCGCGCCCCTCACCGAATTTCTGGATCCGCCAGTGCCGCCCTCTATCCAAACTTATAATAAATACTTGGTCATTTTCAAAATTGCCGTTTCCCTTGTAACAAGATTCACATCTCTTGCAATATACAATAGATTCATTCCCGAAATTTCCGATTCCAGGGTAACCAAAGTGTTGCTTCCATGGCAACCATGTCATAATCTAATCGACAGTTTAGAGATTGTCCTAAAAATATTACGAGAATCCATCAATTAGTTTTAGGTTGTCCTGCTAACTGACAGACCAACAAAAATTACCGAAAACATTGATGAAGGTAGAAATCTATTCAGTGCGCAAACGATGACAGTTTGGGCACTCTGTCCCTCTGTTAGAATTGCATAAACTCATAAATGCTACTTTTTATGTATGAACTTCTTCACAGCAATGTGTTTTCTGTGCATACTAACTACATGTACAACTCTTTACTGGAACATTACTATAGGGCATGACAGAACGATACAAGTAATGATTTTGTACAAACTGTTATATTCAGGTAAGTGCTCATTTTGTACAAACTTATATTCAGGTAAGTTTCTCTGAAATAGTTTGCCCGCAAATATCAGAACTAAACCATTAAGAAATATGTGTCATCACTATCTAAACATTATCTATTCACCAAATAGGTATAAATCTTATGCATAAATTATTTGTTCTTTTATACAAGAGTTCTCGAACAGGTTATTATTTAGTAATATTTACCCGTCCTAGAGGTCAGATTTTATTAATATGATAGCTATTTTTACATCTCCTTTTACCCATTATAGTATCCTTGTAAACATTTCTTTATGTTAACATGTCATTGTATAGTTAAAGGGTGGTAGTTATCGCGCCGCGCATGAGCGAGATATATGGGTCTCAAAGATGGTGACTTTGCACAGATCAACGAGTACAAACTGAGACGTTACCAAGCTTTAATTAGTTATTTTATTAAATGTATTGAAGGAGTCATCAATGTTTATCAACACAAACGTCTCACATGCATAGCGCGATAACCACCGTCCTTTAATGTTTATGGGTGATACACATATTTTTATCAATATTAATTTAAATGTCAGATTTCATATAATCAATTGAGCTGAAAATTGCTGATGGCCCTTTGTTGTTGAAGCCTCCCCCCCCCCCCTGATTTAACTCTACAGTGACATATTTTTATGAGAACCAATGGTAACAACAAATGATGGGAACATCTGTACATGGACCAAGGCAATGAGTTTATCTTCAGAGATTAGAACATAATGATGATGGCAGCGTTAGTACATCGTCAAACACCAGGCTTGATGGAAAAGAAATACATTTTCTATAAGGATCTGCACCTTGTATACAAAAAAGGTATGAAAGTCAAAACCCAACATTAGGAAGGAAGATGAGGGCATTATTTTCCTAGATTAGTTATTGCAAACACAGCTTCTTTAAAACGCGGCCACGAATTCCCTGATTATTCAGCCACCACTGATATATTGATTTCAAATCTAATGATGTAGAGGTAAAATAGACATCATCGACTGGGGACTGAGAGAATAAAAGAAATCAATGGGATAAACTGAACCTATAGTACAGCAGGCTATTAGCCAGGAATTTGCAACTGCCAGTCCAAAACAATTCAACTTCATGAAAATGTAGATGGTTTTGGATATATTTTTGTAAAATTATCAAAGAACAATAGGGAAAAACAGAAAAAAGGGAAAAATGGAAAAAGTTGCCAGTCCAAAATCAAAGTTGCCGTCCGTTTGGTGGGTGGACTGGTGGCTGGCTAGAAATACATGCAATTAACTTGCTAGCTTCTTAAGAACAACAGTTGCAAGTATGATTAAAAATAGAGAATGATTTAACCTTGGAACATCAATTACTCTGAACAGAGTTGTTAAATACATCATTGTGGTTTACCAGGTCCTAGCTGAGATTGCATCAACCCAATCACTGGTCCATAGACACGTAGTAGCAAGCAAGAACCTGCTACCAAGACCAAACATTATTCAGGCAAAGATGGCTAACTATCACTGCACTTTTACACACAGAGTCTTAGTATCACCCATTTTGCACACTATTAGTACAAGGCTTTAGAACTCCCAGCTGGTGCTTTCACTTGTTAAATAACAAATACTGTAGAATACTTTATTTTCACTTGGAATTAATTTTCACTGAAGGGATGATTCAGTGAAAATAAAATCCAGCGAATATACATTATTGCAAACAATGTAAATTAAATTCTGCAAGTCCTTATTAAAAGTCAACAGCAAAACAACAAATTTAGCATGCTTGCTTGAGCTTGCCATCTTGCCATGGCTTCCACTTGCCATCTCAAGTATAAGGCAAATGCTGAAATATTGGATGCGATTAAACGACATGGATCATAATACATTAGTTCATGAAGCTTGCCAGCTGGGCATACAGCTAGATGATGCAGGCGTACAAAATTGGGTAACAG